AAAAAAAAAAAAAAAAAAAAAAAAAAAAAAAATTATATATATATATAAAATTAGCTAGGCATGGTGGCATGCCCCTGCAGTCCCAGCTACTCAGGAGGCTGAGGTGGGAGGATTGCTGGATCCCAGGAGGTCGAGGATGCAGTGAGCTGAGACAGTGCCACTGCACTCTACCAGGGCAAAAAAGTAAGACCCTGTCTCAAATATGTATATGTATACATATGTAAGATTTCAGCCCTAATTTTTAAACAGCACATGGGTATAAAATCCCCCATTAACTACTTTAGTTTTGTCCCTCTGAGCCAACTGCTAATGTCACACTGACTCTGAAGATCTGCAGCGGTTCCATGACATGAACACTTAAAATTCTGAAATATGTTGTGGTCCCAACTTTTGGGCAAGTGGGGACACAAAGCTTGTAGAGATTCAAGACTTTGTAACATGATGGAGGACAGCAGCATGAGAGGTAGGCATGCTGGATATCATGGCCATCGAAACGACCATTTCTAGTAGCTATACACTGTCAAGAGTTCCTTTAGACAGGTAAAGCTAACTTTAGACTAATCCTATCTAGTTCCAAAAATCTATAGTTGCTCATGTACAAAGAGAATTCTATCAATGTCAAAGAGAAAACATATCATTACCAATTATCCTGTATGGTACATTAAGTGCCAGGAAAAGGTAGGCACTGACTTTCATTTTTCTGTATCCGTATTTGTTGATAGATGATCTACGTCTGTCCCCTTTTCACTATTGCCTTTAGGCTCAGCAGAGGCTAAAGGAAAAGTAGGCCAAGTATATTTAATATTTTATATCAAACAAGTTATTTGCTTAAGAAGCTTTGGCCAGCCTCGTGTCTGGCACTAGCGCCCAGCCTGACAGTTCCAGTAGGAATTAAACACCAGTTTTAATGGGTGCTGTGTTCCAATGCCTACTAATGCATTGACGGTTGTTGGCCAACTTCTTCACATAAAGACAAGAGTGAGCGTATGTGTGAGAACATGTGTGTGTGCCCACGTGTACGTATGGAGGGATTACAGGGGGGAGCCGGCCACAGCTGCTTAATTTTTGTAAAGCTTTTTTTTTCCTTAATAGGGAGGAGGGTTGTGGTTACTTACCATCCTCATAAGCTGCTACTGCCAGCGAGCTGTTTATCCTCACAAAGGAGACATTTGGCTGCAGTCCAGGCTCGTCCTCCTCGTCCTCTGATTCCAGGAAGGGGGCTACGTAGTCCCAGGTGCGGGTGTCCCACACTCTCACGTCCCCTGATGTATATCTGGAAGAGAACGACACACTTGGTTCCAAAAGGGGATTGAAGAGCAGGGCTAGGGTGGGGGAAAATGCATAGAGCCTTACAACAACAGACAAGTAAGAATCGGGTGCTGTGGAACCACTCCTGCAGCACTGTTTAGATGAGTGACTCCAACAGGAGAAAATGTCAACTAGATGACAGAAGGCTGCGAACACGCTTCACATTCTCACAGCACAATGGTGACAATTTCAAATGAGAAAACAATAACAAGACATGGGTAGTGAGATCTCCTTGCTTTTCCTTTTACTCTATTGCAACAATCTGCTCCTGCAAGCTCTCCCACTACAGGGATCACTCGAAGAAATTTGTATAAGCCACACTATTTACCCACAAACACACACTCACTCACGAAAGACAGAGAGCGATGTGGCAGGGATACTCAGAACTAATGGTCTTACAGACACAGGCTTTCTAATGCCTCATCCATGCATCAGATTTGACTGATTAAAGTCCCTAAAGACTAATTGATTTGCTGAAACAATTAAATCTTGCCTTTAGCAGCCAGACAATGCTGCCTGCTCATGAAAAGCTCTTGCTGAATGCACAACACTCCCTGGTTTTGCCCACTTAGAAAACAGAAGTACTCACTCTCCCCTATGACTAGTGCCACTCCAACAAATAACTCCTTCCATCAAAGCCACGGCAAGGCCGAACCTACTCAGACATGAGGCCCCCAGGATGATAGAATGGCCAGATGATTAAGTAGGGTGCGCCCGCCACCAAGGTATTTAAGCTATGTTGCTTATGTCGGCTGCAGAGGGTTTTATTCCACTTGTAAAGCAACTGAGTGTTATGGAGGAAAAGGGGTGAGAAAAGCCTTTAAGGGCCTCATGATAGAAACACACAATTGCAAAGACAGGCCGATGAGTTTAAGGGGTTCATAGTCTTCCTGAGGCCACAGCCCCATGATAGAACCACATAATTGCAAAGATAGGCTGACGAGTTTAAGGGGGTTCAGAGACTTCCTGTGGCCCTAGCCATCATTCCTGCAGGGTTTCTTTGGTGAGCTGATGAGATAACCTCTGAGATTCACTGAGTCACTGAAATCTATGATACATTAGTGAAGTAGCCATACAAGATCAATTTGGAATTTCTTTTTTTTTTTTTTTTTTTTTTTTTTGAGACAGGGTTTCACTCTGCTGCCTAGAGTGCAATGGCACAATTTCGGCTCACTGCAACCTCGGTCTCTTGGATTCAAGCGATTCTTCTGCCTCAGCCTCCCGAGTAGCTGGGATTATAGGCACACACCACCATGCCCCACTAGTTTGTTTTTTTAGTGTTTAGTAGAGATGGGGTTTCAGCCCCAGCTGGTCTTGAACTCCTGGCCTCAAGCGATCCACCCACCTCAGCCTCCAAAGTGCTGGGATTACAGGTGTGAGCCACTGCAAATGGCCTCAGGTGGAATTTCTTATGGAGAAGTACTCTGATTCAGGAATGCTTTGTTTACTAGTAGTACTGCATCCAAATTATTAATCTATAGTAAATACATATACTGCACAGTCCAAAGGCCATTCTGTCACCCCAATTCCCTGGTTGGAGAACTCCGTTCTCTACCTGCAAAGTGGCAACCAGAGAGTGTGCATGTGGGTAAAGAGCCAAACGGGAGAGATGTGCTTTCTGATACTGGCCTGCTGTACCTCTGGGTTGACCACTGATCCTCCAGTAAACAGAAACACAAGATGAATGTCCTTAAGCCTGGCAATGTGCAGGCAAGGGCAGATACTGGTATCACTCTGACCAAAGCATGGCCCCTGCCCCCTCGGCTCTCCAGGCCTCAGTCAGCTTACCCTCCTGAATGAGGAGCCCTATACTGGAACACATACCCCAGACCCCATTGTCCTCAAAATACCGAGCTCAGTGTGACACCCTGAGAACAACTCAGGCCATTCTCTGGAGTAAGGCCACTTGCTTCGCTACAGAGACACTGAACAGATGTGATGTGTTTGAATGGCTAGACTGTGCAGGACTAGATTCTGAAGGTTAAATTCTATGTGAAAGGAACTAGCCAATTCAGGAAGATGAGAAGGATGGCAACGTCTTTCAGAAACACAGAGGTTGTATGTGAAAAAAAAAAATACAGGGAATTCAGGAGATCAGAAGAGTAAGGCACACTGAGAAAGAAGTATATAAACTAGGAAACTGTATTTCCTTCCTGCCAGTCTCTGTCCTTCTGCTTCCTGCTAGCCATGTGTCACACCACGCCAACAGTCTGCACACTGTTCTTGGTGGTGTCCCCCCGCCCCCCACCCAGGAGACACAGTGGGGAGGAGAGGGTGGAGAGGAAAGATGGTTTAGATGGCCTCAGCTCCAGCCCCCCAGCTCCCTAAACACAAAGAGTTCTGAGCCAAAATGACAGCCAAACAACAAAGCCTGGAAAAAAGGTGCTTTAGCTGCTGAACCAGACAATAGTAAGCTGTGAAATAGAAACTGTTGAGCCTGCTCCTTACTGAGGGAAAGAGGAGAGAGGGAGGGCAGGAACTCCACGGAGAACAGCACACTATTCATATATGAGGGGCTCCTGGGCAAGCCTTTCTCCCACAGAGGAGGCTGGTCCACTCACACTGGGACTCCACACATCTAAAATCAAATACTTCAGCTCATGGCCAAACTAGCCTGTGTCTGAATTCCTTATTTTTATCAATGGCATCATCAGTCCCAGGTCACTGGTACAGAAGTAGAGGGGATCCTTCAACAGTGCCATGGCCCACACCCACACCACTATATATGCTCAGGTGCCAAGCTCATTCTGTTCTGCTCATTCCCAGAGAGGCCACCCTGGTCCAAAGCCCCCCAACACCTCACACTCACACCCAACTACTACAGACTCCCTGCTTCTGAGCTTCTTCCATTCAATCTTCCCTGCACAAGCCAAGCCCTTTAAAACACCTGACTGCACAAATCTTTCTTCTGGAAACACTTTCTCTCTCACATGCCACTGCACCTCACTACCATCTACCTTGATGGCAGCCTGGACGTCTCCTTCATGGCAGTTGTGGGTGTCTATGATCATCTCACTGTTCACCTCCCTACCAGCTTGAAGCTTCTGAGCCCAGGGCTTGGGTTTTGCTCATAGCTGTGCATGCAATGACTAGACGAGTCAGAATAGAATGCGCATGCCACATACCCAGGGAACCCTCTATAAAGTCTTACATCTTAACACCTTATTGAATGAAGTTTCAATTATGGGATCTACTGAAAACCTTCCGCAAACTAGCTTCCACCCCTCTCCCCAGCCTCATCTTCTACTCTCCCTTGACAAGAGCCGGTCTCCAGAGAAGCTCCCAAATGCTCTTGTCTCAGAACCCTGATTCCCCGACCCACCTGCCTGCAGTTCCTCACCTCCTCGCCTCCCAGCCCAGTGGGACCGGCCCAGTCTGGGCTGCACATTAAAATTGTCTGGAATGCTTTAAAAAGTCCCGATACAAGCCCGGCGTGGTAACTCATGCCTGTAATCCCAGCACTTTGGGAGGCTGAGGCAAGCAGATCACCTGAGGTCAGAAGTTCGAGACCAGCCTGGCCAATGTAGTGAAACCTTGTCTCTATTAAAAATGCAAAAATTAGCTGGGTGTGGTGCATACCTGTAATCTCAGCTACTTGGGAAGCGGAGGCAGAAGAACCACTTAAACCTGGGAGGTGGAGGTTGCAGTGAGCTGAGATCCTGTCACTGCACTCAAGCCTCCCAGGCCAATTAAATCTGACCATCTTGGGATGGAACCAGGCATCAATGGTTTCAATACACAGTCAAGACTGAGAACCACCAACCCAGCCCAATCCTACCAATCCCTCAAGGTCTAACACAGGCGCTCCCCTCCTCCATGAAGCCTGAAGCTTTCTGCCTCTACTACGCCCTTTATCTGATGAAACAGCTTTTATGACTACGGCCCATCTGCACTGATCGTCTCCTCAACTTGACTGTAAAGTCTTCAAGAAGGCCCTATTGCAATGCCACAGCCTCCATCACACTGTCTTATGCAGGTTTAACAATAAATAAATGGTTATTGAAAGGGGGTGTTCACAGGTAACAACCTGACTGGTTTGAGGGATACCTCTTTATTTCCACTGCCTACCTTCCAGTGCTAATGATTAATGAAACACCCAGAATACACACACTGATGTCCATTAGACTGCTTCCGTTTATTTCCAAACTGATTGAAAACTGTAAAACATGGGATAAGCTAAATTATTTGAATAAACGTGACATTTTCCATATATCTATTTAATTAACTTCATTCTTCATGATCAAAAGGTATGATAATAACATAAATGTTTTGCTGCAAAATGACTCAGGCAGTAAGATATAAAAGCCTCTACATCTCCTGTATTGACAGGAACTGAGACTAAATATCCCACTGCAGCAGGTACTGCGTTATGACTCAGCAGCGGACTCTCGAATCTAACACAAGTGAAAGCCACGAGAGCATGGGAGGCAGCCTCCGTGCTAATGAACTTGTGCTAAAGAAACAGACATTTTTGGAAGGGTAAAACACTGGTTGGGGCAGAGGGACCTGGACCAAGCCCTAAATGTGATCTAAAAGTGCTTAACAACGTTGGCCAGGAGAAGCAAGAACAGATAACGAATGGAGGTAGGGAAAAAGGCTGATCTTTCTCCAGAGCTCCAGATGTCTTTATCGCTGCCTAATGACAATTACACTCAACCAATTAAGACGCCACGATGACAGTTGCATTGTCAGTAAGCCTTTGGACCCCAATGTTGATGGCTCTCTAATTAGTGTCTGTGCAAAGTACAACTGCAACTAATACACAAGCTGATGTAAGAACACTCAGGAAAAACTGAAGAAGAAAGAAGCCTTTTCCAATGAGGATATGCCCAGCCCAGGGAAGCTGTGTGCTTTCCCAGTCTTTTCTATACTTGGCAAGGTTGAGTTTACCTCTAAATAAATAGGTCAGAGACCATAGCTGATTTTTTGTTGAAAGAATGGGAATAGAGCCTCTCTCAAGCTCTG